TGTGTGTGTGTGTGTGTGTTGGAAGAGGGTAAATGATACGCAAAACAGAAAGTAGGGATATGTAGCGGAACACGATTGAAGCGTCAGCTCAAAAGAAAGCCAAAAAGAACTCTGATCACCCTGTCCTCTCCTCATCGATCACGTCCAAAAAAAGATAAGAACTAGGGGAGAAACAATCAGAAGGTACGCGAGCAGCAGAAACATATAAGGCCAATGGCGAGAGCTTCAGCTCCTCCTTTCCGAGATGCACACATTCATTCTCCTTTTTTTTTACTGCGTATGTATACCTGTGCTCCCGTCTTCTTGTGTATATGCGCTTGTGATCGTTTGCACATTCGTTTCACTGTATATTTGCAGCAGCCGTTGAATCGAGTGAGCTGATCGACTGCCTATTTTGTGGCCGCAGGAAAGCCAGGACTTCTGAAGCATTATTTCGCGGCATCAGCGGAGATAGAAATTCTGAAGCATTATTTCGCGGCATCAGCGGAGATAGAAATTCTGATTCTTCCTCCTCCACGTTGGGGCTTGGCATACGCACCTGTTTCTTCTGCTGCGCGCTGCTGCGCTCCTCTTTTGCGGCGCGGCGCAGCGTTTGGTACACGTCGTCGATCGATGGGCGGCCCTCGCGGTGCTCACGCAACATCCCACGGAACAGCTCCACCTCCTGCGGGAATTCCTCCACCATTTCCACCGGGAATACCCCGTGGCGTGCCTCACCCAGTGTGCGGAAGCGCTCGTGCTGTGTCGTGAATAAGCAGTAGAATTCCACGGCAACCACGCCAAGGGAATAAATGTCACTGGCAGCGGTAGCGGCATCGCCACGAAGTTGCTCCGGGCTGCAGTAAAGAGGACTTCCTCCAGCGACCGAGCGCTCCTCCTCACCTGCAAATGCATTCGATGTCAACTCATCAACCATGTTACGCATTGAGCCAAATGGTCCACCACGTCGCTTCGCCAAGCCAAAGTCACCAATTTTCATTATCCCGCTGTCTGATACAAAAATATTTGTAGGCTTGAGATCACGGTGAACCACCCGTTGCTGGTGAAGGTATCGCAGCCCTTCCGTGATTTGTATGAGGTGCTCTAGGTTCTCCTGCCGTGAGAACCCATTGCGTGTCGCAAAAAAATCAGCAAGGGTACCGCGCTGAAAGTATTCCATTTGTATAAATAGAACACTGTAGGAGCCTTCAGCTGTGACAGATTCATGTAGCTGTTTGGTATAGAAACTATCCTCCGTTTGAATTGAAAGTGTGTCCATTGTGTCATCGTCATTTAAAATACCATGTCCCTCAGCCACATGGCGAGGCATATGCTCAATCCATGAGTAGAAAAAGCGCACAACATTAGGGAAATCCAGTGAACTGTGAAGCACTGCTTCCCGCACACATCTTTGCTGGTCCTCCACATGAATGCGGATGGCCTTTATAGCATACTTAGCACCTGTGACTCGGTGCTCCACGCAGAACACACTCCCTTCCGCCCCATGCCCAACCTTTTTCAAGACATTAAAATGCTGCTGGAATAATTGCGGTGGAGCAGTGGTATTTGTCGTGGGAAATGAAATCCCTGTGCTTTGTTTCTCACTCATCGAAGAGTCATCTTCACCACCTGAGCACTTCCACCACGTATCACTTACATCCACCCCGTCCGATTCCAATGTCCGTTGTCGCTGCTTTTCGTCCTCCTCCTCGGCCCCCTCCCCCTCCTTCACATTTTGGGCGTCGAGGGAAAATGGGTGTGTGGGGGAAGCGAATGACATAGCGCCCTGGCTGGTTGGCATTTGAAATGGTGATAGCGCTAATGGTGGAACGCCTTTAAAAATACCATAGGCTTCACTTCTCATACTTATATCTACAGGTGCGAGCATTGCAGAGCCTGGCCTGGATGAGTTACGTATGTCATTCTGAAGTGCGTCGACCTGGGCCCAAGCATTCTGCAAGCGTCGTCGGGGCACCACACCAAAACAGGCTAAAGTCAGTGAAATGATGAGAATCAACACATGGAAGGCAATGAACACTGTGCGCCGTGTTGATGTATATGACCACAGAATAAATATTTGGGGAACAAGCTGGAATGGCTCCGTCCATTCACCCTCTTCAGTTGGTGAGTGATTTGGAATACCTATCTGCTGGGCACTGCAACCATACACCCAGGAGCATTCCTGCATCGAGTTCTGAAGCTCACGGGCCTCGAGTTCATCGGCAGCGATGTCACCATCCCTTGTTTCCTCGAAGATTCGAATGAGTGAGGAATGCTCTGTCCACGGGCGGTCACTAAGGAAGTTTGAAATACTGTGTGCTTCGTGGTTTCCGTTCTTTACACCTTCAATAGATGCAGTTGTTGTTGTTTTTCCTGTGGTGATGATGGCCGCCGCGGTTACAGACGGTTGTAGGCGGTAAACAGGTACACGTTTCACTCCACCGTAGTCTCTGACGCAGATGAAGGCGGCTGCAACATTATCGATGGTATTGACTGCAGTAGGCCACAGGGCAGTTCCACTCGCTTTGTTCCACAACGCGTACTTTGACTTCTCCATCTCCTTCACTGTCAGACGCTGTGCTATTTCACTCTTGCGACAGACATCAACAGCCGACTCCAAGTTGGCCTCTCCCGTCGTGCGGGAATCTGGAGTCACAGTTGGCTCATGACCACCGTTGCTGTTTTCTTTTTGCAAAAGGTCCTGCAGCACGCGGGAGACCCTGCGTGGATCCCCTTCCTCTTGGACACATCCAGTAGCCTGCGTGAGGGAACCTTCGCTCAGTCTGTATTGCGCCATACTTATCTGCCAGCTATACATGCCACGACACCAAGCGTGAACAGTGATGTTGTAACGAACAATATGCAGGTGAGGCAGAAGCGAATTCGGCGCGAAGACCAGCTTCCCAGTGTGACTACTGATGTCCATTATCTGTGCCGAAGTTACTACATATATGTCTGTGCCTCCAAGACGCATATGCTGTCGTCGAATCAGTGTGGACAGATTCATGAAATAGTGTGGATGCGCTGGAGAAAGAGGTATGTTATCTGCACCAAGCAAATCCTCTTTTTTATCTTCCTGTCCATCTTCATGATTCGCTGAGGACCCAAGAGGCAGATGACGCCCGGCCGCCTGTGATGCGAAACGACGTCTAGTGAAAAGCATATCGCCTTCGACCACAAAGGGAACCGCAAGAGGGTCTTCACGCACCACGTCTTCTGTCGCGTGCAAATCGATCTTGGCATGCATCACACTTCCCCCAGTATCCACACTCCACATGGGCAATCCTGAGTCAAGCAAGTGCGCCGCAAGCGTGCCGTTCGTGCCAAGAAGAAGGACCATATCTGGGGAATAGAATCCGTACTGCAGCGCAACACCACCAACTGCTGGGGCCGTCGTCGCTGGTGGTGTCACGGGACTGAGAGTTCCCTGTCGCACTCCAACTCCAGTCTTCACATAGCTCGAGTCCACCTGAACTGCAGCGTCTGTTGCTGCAGTCACCGACGAACACACAAGTAGAAATAGTAATAGAAACAATGTGATACGAGGGTATTCATTCGGCATTTAACAGCAACACGCGGGATTGGCGAACTATTTAAGAGCGCTTCGACAGAAGGGAATGCCGTTGATAAACTTCACGGACCTCCAACTACTTCCAGTTTGGCTTTAATCAGTGTGTCGCAGGCAGTAAACGAATTGAAACGAAGTAACGGCAATGTATGTGCGTTACCTGTTCCCTCTCCCTTTTATTTGTCGAGCAGCTATCTTGTCCCCTTTTTGTTCTTCTAATCTAAACTGGTGAATGCGTTTTGGGACCTGAGACAGTTGCGGCTCCTGGCCCAGTGTATAAATATTATTGTCTGTTCTGCCTGCTTCCTTTGAAGGAAAAATTTCGTCTCGCTATGTCCTAGGCCCAACAAAAAAACAGAGAAGACTAGAACCCCCGCACACACACACACCAAAAAGAAAAAAAGGATGAAAAAAGAAAAAAGAAAAATATTATTACATTGTGGGCATAAGGAGGAAACGTAGATGAAGTTGTAGAGGAATCTCTCACCTTCTACGTTCTTTCCCCACAAACACACACACACACACACACACATCCTTCCTGCCCAGGTGCCATGTTTGCAGCACGGCGCGCAAACAACAAACAAAAATCCACACGAACAAAACAGGAACTGCAGAAACGTGAAGCTCAACTCTCAAAAGTACTGCGCGCTATCGTCGTCCAAACACCCTTGTCCTCCTCTTTCCCTGCTAGCAAGCGAACCAAGGAAGCACTGATGTCCTGTTCCTCCTGCAACTGTTCGTGCTTGTGGATCGGGGTGTGACAGTGCTGCCAAACCTCGCTCAGCGCCTTCGGCAGCCGAATGAACGCGTCCAGCACCTCGCGCTGAAACTCAACCCGCAGCGTCTCGAGGGACTTGAGTTCCTCGGCATCTACAAAGGAGAATCGTGCAGTAAGAATGTGCCGTGCTGGCGGCAGGTGCACATCGACGGGGGGTCGCAGCACCTGCGCGCTCCACCAGTCCCTCGGCAGGAATCCAGACTCCGCCGGCCCCAGAACCGTATCGGCGCGCCGCGGCCGCACTGCCGCGCCCACCGTGGCGTGACGCCGCTTTGCGCGGTAGAATAACACCAGCGATTCGCGCGCCAGATTCTGCAGAGCCTGCACTGCGGCAGCATCGTAGTTATGAGCCGACGTTAGCGCCTCGGCGTAGAGAGCCGAGCCCAACACACGGGTGGTGTCACTTCTCTCGCACATCGGGAAGTCCGCAATAGCATCCAGTGCGTCTTCGTAGCGGCTGGAGAGACGCTGGCATGCACGTGCAATGAAGAGGTCGATATTCGTGCGGTTCACGACTTGCTTGGTATCCCACAGCGCTTCCACCTCATGGGGGAAGCGAAATTTCCCCACATGTCGCTCGGCGATGGAGTTTACATCTATATCCTTGACCGCCTGCTTAAGTGCCTCCAGCTCGCGCAACTTTGCCTTGATTGACATTCCTTCCAGGAGTCGGATCTCCGATTTAACGCGTTCAACTTCCTCATCAATTGAATGCCCCTCTACGGTGCCACACTCCTCCGCTCTTTTTTCTGCAGAAGATGCGGCAATGCCGACTACTCCTCCATGCCGCCCTGTTTCTGAAAACGGAACATCTTCCTCCGGCACAGCACTAGACGCAAAACGCAAAACATCCTCAATATTAGAAAGGGTGGTGGCGCGAGGAGGAACTTCTGCGGAGCCCGACTTTGACCTCACTACTGATGCTGCCGCCTGACATTTTCTCTTGTTGCTGCCGCCTCCTCCTTTAGGTAGCATGTCTTCACCTCTCCGCAGACTCCTTGAACGGCTCACAACATCACGCATGGCATGAAGTCGCCGTTGCTCTTCTAGTAGTGTGGATAGTTGCCCCTCGAGAGTATCGAGACGCTCCTGGTCCAGCGCCATCTGCGACAAGACACTGCGGGTGTCATCGACCAGGCATTGCACGGCGTCAGCATGGACGGCCGCTGAAAGAGCCATAAAGCGCAGCAACTCCAGCGCCTCAGCCATGCCAATATATAATCCCCGCCCCTGACAAATACAACAAAAGACCAAAAAGAAATATATACATACATATACACATATAAGAAAGAATTATTACCATACTCTCCCAAAACAAAAAAAAAGATGCATATTCTCCATAATGCACCTACCGAAGCAATTGTTTCAGTAAACTAACCTGGTGGCCCGAACACCATGCGCACTCACTATGGCCAAAGAGAGCCAAACATCCATCGCGCTTACTCATGTTCATAAAAAATCAACCAAAACGAATTCAATAATAATAATAATAATAAGCACAAGAAGCCACTTCAAATGCGCCATGAAGCCAAATCTTTTTGAATCTGACGTTGCAACAATCAAAAGAAAGACAAAAACAAATCGGCAGAAATGTAGCGCACCCCCAATCTATCGGTTACAACGATAGAGGTCGAGTTCAACAAAGGCAGTTTATTTCGCAACTCGACCACAAGGTCTCTCTGGCATATAATTCCCGTCTTCAGTACTATGCAAAGCGCTTGTCAAACCGGCATTTCTTCCATCCTTCTCGGCGTAGTACAACCTCAACGCCAAGTGTGTGAATCGGTGCATCACCCCAGCGGTACCGCATGATTCCACGCGGCTCCTCCTCGTCCAGGAAACGGAACAAGGACATATACAGCGGGTGACGCTTCAGTGCCATGGTGCCCAGCTCAAAGTTGTTGTAGTACATGATTCCCCTGTAGCCAGTTGCACTGCCATTGAAGGCAAAGCTCGTCACCTCCTCGAGCTCTGGTGCTGGTAGCGCTGTGTTGGCCCACTTCACAAACGTTGGCCATAGATCAACCACAACAGGGATGTGGTCGCTCGTAACGTGTCGGTATCCATACGCACATTGGCTCGATCGCATCAACCAAAAAACATCGCACGGCACAGAAGCTCTGATGTATGAATCCGTGTCCAGCCTCCAATAGTACTCGTAGGCGTCCAGTGACGGCAGCTGCCACACAAGTCCTGCCCAAAAGCGACACATAAGGCGATACCCACGACCCTGATATCTCCGCTGCTGTGGTGCTCTCATCCACGCACGAAGCTTCTCTTCTGACACACCATCCGGTAGTTTGCGCCAGAACCTTCCCACATCCTCAAAGTCCACCTTTCGCGCTGAAGGTATCGCACGACGAATCGCCACTTGCTTCTCTTCAGGCATGTCTTCGTGGAAGATGTGCACTGGGTAAGGATAGCGAGCAAGAAAGTGCTTCTCCAACAATGGAAGCGCCTTGGTGAGGAAAAAAGGCTCCTTCCTTCCTGCCAGGAATAGAATGACGCCGTTGACCAGGGTGCTGCTGACTCCGTTATCTAAAGGATGCGTGCAGGTCACGGCCACAGTGCGCGGTGGCAAGGGTGGTACAGCAGGGCCTCCTGCCTGCACTTCCCCGTGACCTTGATACGACATCTCCGACGATACAAAACACAACCAAGCGCCCAGAAGGAAGAGCACTGCTGCACAAAGAAGCAGTGACACACGCTTCACGAAACGTCTTTTTTGTGCGTATCTCATCGTTTCTCCGGATTCCCTCCACGTTTCCCTGTTTTTTTTTTCCTTATTGCATCATAAAAAGAAATTAGATCAACACTGTCCTGCACCGTCACCTCATTATGCAAGGCCAATGTGTACTCATTGCCAGTGAGCCATAAATACCTACGTGCGTGGAAGTGCAGAGCACACACCACATTATCGATCTTCCAGAGAATAGGACAGCAACTTGCCCCGCCCACTTTTCCAAGTATCAGTGCAAAGCAATAGAAAAGGCCACCGTGTAGAACGACGATGCAACCCCGCCTGCCACCGGGAAAGAATTTAACGGCTAGATATTAATCTATTTATCTTCACGGTGCGGAGCAGATTGCAGCACACCTATCTCGGCCATGGACAAAAGTAGAACAGCTATCGTGATGCCCAGTAAAGCAATACGACGTTGCACTACGTAACAGTCAGCTCTCAGGGCACATTTTTCCCATGCGCATAATCTGCAAAGCGCTTGTCAAACCGGCATTTCTTCCATCCTTCTCGGCGTAGTACAACCTCAACGCCAAGTGTGTGAATCGGTGCATCACCCCAGCGGTACCGCATGATTCCACGCGGCTCCTCCTCGTCCAGGAAACGGAACAAGGACATATACAGCGGGTGACGCTTCAGTGCCATGGTGCCCAGCTCAAAGTTGTTGTAGTACATGATTCCCCTGTAGCCAGTTGCACTGCCATTGAAGGCAAAGCTCGTCACCTCCTCGAGCTCTGGTGCTGGTAGCGCTGTGTTGGCCCACTTCACAAACGTTGGCCATAGATCAACCACAACAGGG